TTTTTAAAATATTTTTATTAATTAAATAAAAAAATTAGCGATGGAAATTGCTACCAAAAAATTCGGTCGCAAAATTGGTCTCGAGAAGTTAGGAGACCAAAATATTAGCGACGGATTTTTAATGTCTAGCGACTGATTTTTCGGTCGCTAAATTGTGACGGAAAAAATTTCGGTCGCTATTTAAAATAGCGACCAAGGTTTTAGCGATGGATTTTTTCGGTCGCTATTTCGGTCACTGAATGTAACAGCGACTGAATTTACCTAAATAGCGACCGATTTTGGTGGTCGCTAAAACTTGATTTTTTTGTAGTGATGTGAAACTTGAAAATATAAGTCCTAGTTAGTCAATGTAATGCTCAATGAAAAATGTAACCCATTGCTCACTAATGGTCTTTATGTCTTATAGCGGCAATGATGATCGATCTATAAATATTTATTAAGAAAAATTAGAACAATTAGTATAAAAAATTAAAAATAAATAAATAAACCAACCCGTAATTAAATGAAAAATAAATAAAAAAACATAAGAATTCCAGAATTCGCATGATGTTGGAGTGGTTCTTGCGGCTGGTCCGTGGAACTTGGAACCAGGACTACTACGACTGTCCCTTTGGAAGAAATACTTCAATCTAAGAAATCACAAGAACACGTTTGCACAAGTATGGCTGCGTATATTGGAGCTACCTCAAGAGTATTGGAATCCAATAATTCTTCTTGCAATTGCTTCAACCATGGGGACTCCAATTTCTTTGGACAAGGCTACCTTGAATCAGACATATGGCCACTTTGCTAGAGTATTGATTGAGATTGATCTCACAAACTAGATTCCTACTCAACTACTGGTTGAACGGGAAGGATATACGTTCTTTGTGTTCTTTGAGTTTGATAAACTTCCTATGTTTTTCTCTAACTGTCATTGTATAGGACACTTGATTCTGCATGCAGGCATGCAGGAACGGAACACGTCCACAAAACATGTAGGAGCCACATGAGAGGTCACGCAAATCTGCTGGTGCAGTGGGTGCTTCTGTCTCAAATGATGGTGTAGAAGCTACTTCAATTTCAAGTAAAGGTGCAACAGCTGAGGGAGCACATGCTGGTCAGCACGTAGGTGAACCAGCAGATTGTGAAGCTGGTGCTAGTTTGGTAGTGTAGCCTTGTGCTGCTGGTGCAGGTATAAATGTCCAGCTGGAGCTGGAAAAGGTCACCGCAAGTGTGCCTAGTGTTGAGGAGCTTAGAGCTGGTCCATTCCAGCCAGTTGGTGGAATCATAAACCTAATGGATATGGCTGCTTGTCTTGATTATGTAGCAAGTGATGCAACTACTGTTTTGGTTCATTCAAGTGCAGCTGTTGTTTTGGTTCAGTCAAGTGAAACTGATGCAAATTTGCATCAAGGTGCTGATGTAGCTACTGTCACGGCCACGCAATCTGCTGCACCTACTGCTATCCTGGTTGATTCGGAACATGCATCACTTTTGCTGGCAAAGGCATCTGTAAAGGTGCCTAAAGCAAACAATTTTGTGGCAGCAACTGCTGCAAATGTAATCAAGACACATGATGCATTGTTGACTCACAAAACTGGTACTGGCAGCAATACTGTAGTCCTCAAAGATGGATCTTGGCACCTCCTTCCAGCTATTCGTGACAGGGTAGGTAATCAACTTGGCAATATTGTTATACCTCTTTGTGAATTGGAAGACTCCCTCATTTGGGACTTATCCCCGAATGGGGACATGCTATTTAGAGATGCATACTCTTTCATAAGGCAAACCAAGCCTCAAATTAACTAGGCTAAAACAATCTGGCATAAATATATTCCCCACTCTAAGTCTTTTGTAGTCTGGAGACTTTTCCATGGGAAGATCCCCACTAAGGATCTCTTAAGGAAAAAGGAGGTAATCATTACATCTGTTTGCCTTCATTGCTATAATGCTCTCGAAACCTCTCATCACCTGTTCTTTGAGTGTTCATTTGCCCAAAACATTTGGGACTGGCTCTCTAGATTAATGGATGTCACTCTAAACACTACAAACATTATGGATATTTTAAATAACACATGGAGCAAATTTGCTAGATTGGTAATTTTATCAGCTATCACTTTCTCCATTGATGAACTATGGAATAGTAGGAACTTGATAAAATATCATAATTGCTTCAATACACTTGAATATTTGAAAAACAAAATATTATCACTTGTTAACTCTTGTAGCTCTCTTTCTCCTTTGTCTATGCATAATAATATGAAGGAACTTAAACTACTAAAAAGTTTTTTGTTTCCTTGCAAGGGCCGGAGAATGGACCAGTTTGTAGAGGTGAGATGGTTTCCCCCTTCAGCAGGCTGGATCAAGTGTAACACGGATGGAGCTTTTTTTACCTTCTCCTCTTTAGCAGCATGTGGGATCATCTTCAGAGATAGTAGAGCCAACCTGATTGGTTGCCTAGTAGAGACAGTTTTGGCCAAATCAACACTGGAAGCAGAATTGTTGGCGATCATTCATGCAATTCAGATCGCTCGGAGACATGGCTGGATGGCGCTATGGATAGAGACAGACTCGATCCTAGCCATTAGAGCCTTCTCTTACCCCTCTTTAGTTCCTTGTAGTTTGTATGTTCAGTGGCTGAACATGTTATTCCATATTAGGCAGATGAGATTTTGTTTCTCTCACATTTTTAGGGAGGGAAATGGATGTGCTGATAGTCTAGTAGGCTTCAGTCTTAGACACATTGGTTATCATTGGTGGCTATCTGTTCCATCTTGTATCATGACTACTTATTCTATGGACCGTGGAAAGCTTCCACACTTTAGAGTCTCTTAGGATCGGTGGTGACAGACGTTTGTACTTGTATTTCTTTCTTTTCTTTTTCATTTAGTGTATTTTGATATGTTGCAGATGATTAGTATGGATTGAGGTGCTAACCTAGTTAAGATCTCTTTTCCACATAGTGATGCCTTACCATATCTACCTTTCTTCAAAAAAAATAATAATATACAAGGTACTTAAGTTTTCTAAATTAGGTACCTAATTTGTCTATCTAAGAGATATTTAATTAGTTATATGTAAGAATCTCGTATGGAGCTTTGGAACTAAACTATTTTGGTGGTAATCTGTAAGTACCTTCATAAACGCTCAACGTCTCATAGAGTCTTGAGGCCTGTTCTAACGCTAGTGAGTCCTTGAAACCATAACTCACCTAAACTTTTATGATTAAAAAAATATTTTAATAACTTATAATTTTTAATCTATAGTAATTTATATAGTGTTTAAGTTATGATAGTAACTATTTTAGTTCCTATATAACTAAAAATACTTATTTATTTTAACTAGGTAACTTATATTTTCTATTTTTGTTTTTAATTTTTAGCTTTTTTTTATATTTATTAATAACTTAGACTATAAGCAATTGTCTATGGTGGTGCAAATTATGGTGCCTATTTAAGGGTCTGAATGATGCCTATGGTAGCTAAGTTACTAATATGAGATGGTAACCAAAAAGTGTAGTTGATGGGTTACAAAATTCTCTTTGCTGTTTATTAGTTTCTAAGAGAATACTTAGCCTATTTGATATAATAGGGTACCAAGCCAATTTCTTATATAATTGACTAAGTTCCTTATTAGTTTCTAAGAGGGTGCCTAACCAATTTCATATAAGAAAGTGCCTAGCCAAATAACTAATTAATTGAATCACCACAATTTTCCTCAACTATGATAATAATTAATTCATATAAGATATTATATTTCACAAATGTTGCTCGAATAAATAATATATATTAACCTTTAAACTCATAATTCAAAAATTGATGATTATAAAATTACATATACTTAAACGTGTAAATCTTCCTAGTAATATATCATTTGTTAGTTGCTTCTGACTATACTGGATTGATGATTTGCATGAAACAATGGCATAGGTAGTTATTTCACTAGACTAATGACATAGACTTGTGTGGGAAAGGATCTATAGTAGCATGGGAGATTCTCATTCTCATGGGTTATAAAAAATATTTATATAGATTAAAATAACAATCACATACCTCTTTAATATCCCAAATATTAAAGGGGTATACAAACTTATGCTTTTCAATTAAAGTATAAATATGAAAAAAAATACAAAATATATGTTAATAATGTATTTAAAATCTCTAGATTATATATTACTTAATACTCAATCATTTGGTGTCCTATACCATGAAATGAACAACATAAATTTTGGAATAATTAGCTCAAAATCAAGTCGCTTTATATGAAGGATTTATGTGCATGTTTACATTTTAAAAAAAAACACTTATATTCAACTTCTAATAACACAATGTGATATTATGAATAAAGTTAGCATATTTAGTTGACCATCCTACAAAATATTGTGCAGTGTTGTTCAGCACACTTCAAATGTTAGAATCTTAAAAATTGTTAAAAACTATAGAATTTGTAGTCTTTGTTCATCTAGTTTACCACTTCAGTATGGATAGAAGGAAAATATGGTACAGACGATTTGCATTTTTTACAATTTAAATTACTCAATTTTTTACCCATTTATTTTGTTCTTTTTCTATTTGTTCTTTATTCATCTATAAAATTTGGCAAAAGTAAAAGAGAAAGCAAAAAAGAAAGGACAAGACTATATAGGGTTCAACCCACTAGTTTGATATAGTTTTTAAAAACATTACTAGGGGTGAATGTTGTAGCAAATTGACTGGAAAATTATTTAATTCATTTTAGAGATTTAATATAGTACATATTTAAAATGATTAAGATTTATAAGTTATGTTGAAAATAAAAGATTTATAAAGGTTTATAAAAGGAGGAATTCTATGTTGATATTTCAAGTTGTCATACAATACAAAGATGTGTTGTATTAATTGTCATATTGAGAGAATCACTATTAAAATTTTCCGTGAGTATGATTGGAAGATGAGACGGTGTGTGTTGGCACTACGTACGATTAGTCCTTAAATGAACTTTTATGTTGTCTAAAACTTGCATAAATGGTCTCTGGCTGATACTGAAATCAATGTATACTTTCCTCTGTTATTGGATTCTTTTTACTGTACTGTATTTGCATAAGTACTATAATTACATGTTTCTCCCTTCTACCATGGCCTAAGCATTTCTTAATTTCCTTTTTGAATCATCTAATTGTTAAATACAAAAGAATAAACAAAAGTTATTTAGATTTCATTTTCTAAATCAAAAGTACTCCTTGTGAAATTCAAAGCGTGTAGTTGTCTTGTGACTTAGCTCAAGTGATAGCTTCTTTAGCTCCTTCGCCAACATTGGCATCCCGCAATAGAACACACCTGGATTTTTTATACATCATTTTCTTGTTAATATTTACTAATATTGAGAAGTAAAAAAAAATGGATCACACTTTATAAGTGAACATATAATAAACTACTTGTTTCCTTCTCTTAAACAAACCAATTGTTCATCCGTACCTATCAATATTCTTTGTTTACAAATAAGGTTGGTTCATAATTGACATTTGTTTGTTCTAAATCACAATTTCTCAATTGTTGATACTTTAAATCTTTTAGGGATAATTAACTATCCAACTATTTAATCGTATTCCAACAGTGGTTATAAAGTCAATGACTAAGGACATGTTTAGAAACCATTTAAAATGTTTCAAAAAAAAAAAATGAACATACATTCCAAAATATTAAAAGTAAAAGGAAAAAATTGTGTCATTAAGGTTATAAGGCTGTTTATTCCATTATAGTAGTTAACCAACCAAACTTATTTAAGTAGTAAATCGTAAATAACATTGATTATTTTTGGATACAAAAGGAGGGTTAATTTCTATTACAAGTACATTTTAACTACTTTTCCCTCATTTCTTTAATGGCTTAAGGTTAATGAACATGGACTAAAAATGTTGGACTAAAAAGTCCTTATTTAATATCTATTAGTAACATTAATACTTGTGTGCTCATTGGTTGTGTAGCTTACCCTCTAGTAAAACTAAATGAGCAGTTAGTGGAGAGAAATATTATTAAATAGGGATATAATTGAGAGAAAAAAGTCTAATTTGTTATTGGAATTTTAAAACAACATTTTCTTTTAGAAAAAAAAAACAATTAGAATCCCTAAAAAAAATTGAAAGGAAGGATTACTTTGATTTAAGTGTTGGAAATATCTTTGTTAACATAAATTTAATTTCATGAAATGAATTTATAGTCTAAACATTATAAATTTGTATTATTAATACGATGCATCTAATCAACTCAGTTTTGTTCATATAAAAATATTAATATATACTTTAGTATATCATAATGTTGGTATACCCCTACTTCTTTCTTTATTTTTCTCTATCTTTATATATGTGTTATTTTCTTAAAAAAAATTATACCAATAAAATTTAGTCTTCATAAAATAATTGAAAAATTGTTTAATTAGATATCAATTTCTTCATCATGATCAATTGAACAAATAGATTCATAATTCCTTATAAGTTTGATTGTTTTGACCATTACACAATTCTATATCATGATATCATTCATAATTTCAGTCAATTACTACTGCATTGTATTTTCATTTTTATCAATCGTTTTCATTGTAACCACCATATTTGTAGTGTTGTGAACCCAATGATATCAATGGAGAAGACTTATGGCTTGACCCTTATGTGAAGCATATCATAGGCAAATGAATAAAAATCATTTGTTGTCCCAATATTACCGGATGAAAAGGAAAATTAAATATCCTTTATGAGGAAGTGTTCTGCATCTTGTAGCAAGAAATTTACCTATTGTAGAAAATGGATGTTTAGAGGCAATCTTGGTGAAAACCTCTCTCCAATTAGGCCTAGCAAAGTGTGTCCTTACCTATAGTTGAAAACAATTTAAAAAAGTGTCATATTTTGGTGAGTAATCATTATCAACTTAAGCAAAAAAAAAAAAAAAAAAAAAACTTGCTCATTATGTTAACAATTTCAAGTATTGAAGATCTTACTCGAGTGCCTGATAGGATATCAACACCAGTTTTGGCATGGTTCAAAGCTTGGATCATGGTGATTAAGGTTGATCTCGCATCCCCCTCTTCATAGACACTTGTAAGATAGTTGTGAAGCTCAATTTGACCCTGATTTAGAGTAAAAAACAATTTATAACAAAAAACAGGGACAGCTAGTATAGTAGAGAACTATTTATAAGTAGGATTGAAACTTATTTATGAACATCATATATTACTTTGTGGTCCATTTCAGCAACTTCGTCCATTACTCCTTTGAACCATTCAAAAGATCCAGGTTCCCTAGTGACCCAGTAGAAATAAGCATTTGTAGTCCTTCTTAATATCTTATTTCCTCCTGGTGTTAAATTTGAAGATGTAAAACTATTAGAGCTTTCGTCTGATCTAGTTGTTTGACTTGTTTCTGTGTTTGATTCCTGCACCTGAATATAAGAAAATTGAAAATTGAAGATAAAAGTGGAATCAACTTTCTGAAAAGTGAGCTAGAGTTTTGTTAGTACCACTAGTTCATCCGTTGTTCTTGTGTTATTGAGGAGATCTCTGATAATGCTAATGAAAGGAGTTGCTCCAATTCCTAATCCTATGAGGAGCATTACATCAAAATTTTGGTAGTCTTGTGCTGGAGCTCCATAAGGACCATCAACTAGAAGTCTCGGTTGTCTGAAACAAAATTCTATTTTGTCTAATAATTTTCATTCACGAAATTGGGGTAAAATGTTGAGTCTCTTAATATTTGGTCAAAACTAATCTTAGTCTAGTATTTTACAAACTGTAGGATCAAACCCACCACATTTTAAAAAATATAATGATCAAAACTATTGTTATTAAAATACAAAGGACAAAAACTTAAGCAATCTAACATTTTTTTACCATTGCATTTATGAAAAAACAATTGACCTTACTTACCTTGTTTGATCCAGTTCCATTAGTTCACCAAATGTTGCACGACAATTAAGTGAAGGTAATCTCTCATCTTCTTTTGTGAGAAGAAGCTTAAGTTCTTGGGTCCAGTCTCCCACTATGCGAATGTGAACACTTAGGTACTCATCTCCTGGGGCCGAGGTAATGGAAAATGGGTGCCTAAAATATATTTCATGAAAATATTTAATTTGAATTTGAATTTTCTCATGTCTATAACTTTTTAGTAGACCTGAGAATTAGAACAACACTCACCATTCAAAGGGAGAAATTTTTGGACATTGTAAAAATATATATTGTCCACTTTTGTACTTAAATCCATTAGGCTTGGACATGATTAAGCTGAAGACATTTCCGGGCAACCTTGAAACCTGCTAGATCAAAGTTAGGAAATTGACATGTATTAGAAATCTCATATCAATTAGAGATATAATCAAAATATATTGCATAAGTGATGGATAATCTTCATGTTAAAAGTTAGTTTTTCTAAGATTAAATTATGTCCAAATCCATATTCTTAAGTCTAGATAGGTTTTATTTTTTCTTCATCCTAGTTTTCTTCATGCCAAAATACAAAAAGACATGACATATTTTTCCTTAAAATATTTCTCCATAAATTCTTTTATTCCAAAATACACGTGGATTATCTAAAGGGGACTCATTTCCTTCAATTCAAACATGGAATCAAATACACTCAAAAGTCAGAATAATCAATTTTGTTCATAAAAAAATCAAAGAGATAATGACCAAGGAAAAGACCATATGCAAATTTTCATCAAAGAAAGAAAAGGCTAGTCATAAATTACTCCCTACTCATAAGTGGTTTTTTTTCTTGGTGTATTCACCCACTACTAGAAATAGAAATATGCTTAAATATGAAGTAAATTTGTTTTCGGTCTTCCAAATTTAAAATTTTTTACTCCATATTTGAGGATGTATTTAAGCTTGAAAAATAAACATGGACTTGTTTTCATTACCTTCATAATTTTCACAGTATAATGTGTTGATCTACGAGTGCGTAGAGTACGCTCTGCAACGTAAAGCAACAGTGGAACAGAGATATACATCCATGTCTGAAATTAAAAGGAAACGGTAAGTTGATGTATGTTCTTTAAACAACACTCACTTATCCCATGTTGTAGAGCAGTCGAAATTCTTACTGTTTTATGGTACCAACGGTGGGTTAAATGCAAAAATGACCCATGGATGAGGAGTAGAACATAGACCAAACCAAAAAGATGGTGTGAGTACCAGAATGAATTAAAGCCTGTCAATCTGTTAAAGGGTGACGGAAGCTTCACTGCATTTCTCCGGAAGTGGTGAGTTGCTAAAGTGAAAGAGATTATCATCAAAATAACCATTGAGATTCCAGTCATGCCTTCCACACTAATGTAAAGTGATTTATATGTGGGTTTTTTGTCATTAAAATCTGAAGATATAATCGAAAACTTCTCTGGAGATGAGTTTACGAGAAGAGGGAAATCACATGCCAGATGATTGCCAGCATGAACAACAACTCCAACAAGTATGGCAAATGCAATCATCTATAAAATGGACAAGGACACAATCAAATTGTGAGGAATTTATACCAGCTTAATTTAAAATATTGCCATTTTTGGAGAGCAAGTAATATCATGTCTCAATACTATAAGTAGAGCCTTCATAATTAGCAAAATAAATAAATTAGGGCATGTTTGTTAATTTTTTAATTTAAAAATATTTTCTAATTAAATAATTAATTTTTATTTTTTATGTTTGACTAAGCTATTTAAAAAAAAATCAATTTTTTTTAAAATAATTTCTATTTACTTCTTAAAAATATTTTTTTTACAATTACTATATTTGGATTTTTCTTTTTAATTTTAAGCAAAGTACTCTCTCTGTCCTAAATAACTACAATTTTAACATTTGAAATTTTTTTCAAAAAGACTCATGTTCTCAGTTTTCAAAGAAATATTAATTTTCTCTTTCCTAATTTAGCCGCTCACAATTTCTTTAACCACTACAACTAAAAGTAATACTTTTATTAAGAAATAAAATTGTATTAAATAAGTGATATATTTGTTGTTGTTATTAATGTGTAAAAATATTAAATTATAGTTATTTTGAAATGGGTGTAGTAGTTATTAGCTAGAATGATAATGAATAATTTAAAGCACCCTAAGTTGTATTAATTAAAACCTCTGTTTTAAGAGATTTACTATTTGAAAATTATACAGAACTTTTTTTGCATTTAAAATATCCTAAGTTGACATCATCTCTATTTTACATACCTTGTGGAAATTAATATTGTCATCAAAAGGGACAAACTTTCTAGCTCTGGTAGAACGAAGCCATGTCAACGTATTTCGACAAACTGGTAAGAGGATGAGAGCCATGTTGAGCTTCAGTGTCTCTGCAGCACCTTTAGCTACTGGTATGCAATAGCTCATAACTTGAAAAGTTGATTTATTTTTATATTGGTAGAATTTCCAGGCAAAAAGGCAAGTAGTGATAACCAGCCATAATATCAAAACCCAACCCCTTCTCCAATACTCCAATGCAAGACATTGGAGTGCCCTGTAAAATCTTTGGATTTCATTTTTGGGCCTCAAGTCCGTCATATTTTGACTCCAATTTACACTTGCACTGCTGAGTTGTCTGCTGTAGTTCATGTACCTATCCTTTTCTAGTAACAACATTTCTAGTTGCCACAACTGAATAAAAGACAAATTTAAGCGATCAAGAAAGTGTAACAAAAATTGTAAACAAAAATATACTATTCAAAAGGAAATAAATTCTGTGATAGTACCTTTCAATGTAGACACATTGAAAAGTATAAAAAAAATTTGATGATACGTTTGATAATGTCACACAGCATGAAGAAAGATAAAGATATTATAATAAGTTTCAACAATTGACTATTTATAAAATGCTCAGACATTCACCTTGAAAGATATAAAAAGAAAGACAAAAAGAATATGATGATATGATTAATAATGTAACACAACAAGAAGATAGATAAAGAAATTAAAATAAGTGGCACCATTCGGGTGTTCACAAAAAATACAAAATACTTGAATGATATAAAAAGAAAGCAGTATGTGATGATGTGATTGAGAATTTTTTCTTTTGATAAATTGATTGATAATGTTTCTCAATAAGAAAGGAGATAAAGAAATTAAAATAAATAGTATCATTTGAATGTTTGGAAAGCGTTTAAGCACCTTGAAAAATATAAAAAGAAAGAAAGAAAATTGTAATTATATGATTGATAATGTTACACTACAAGAAAAAGAGATAAAGAATTAAAATAAGACACCTTACTTAGCAAAATGAGCATATGCCTTGAAAGGTTTAAAAAGAAAGAATAAATTTGTGATAATATTATTAATAATGTTACACAATAAAAAGATTGATAAAAAAAGAAATTGAAATAAGATGGTATCACTTGGGTATATGCAAAACATGCAGACAACCTGAAAGATATAAAACGAAAGAAAAAATGTGTGATGATGTGATCAATAATGTTACACTACATGAAAAGAGATAAATCAATTAAAATAAATGGTGTCACTTACGAATTCACTAAAACATGCAAACACTTTGAAAGATATAAAAAGAAAGAAGAAATGTGTTATAATATGATTGATAATATGTTACATAATAATAAGAAAGATAAAATAAAATATATAAAAACAAAAAAACAAAAAAAAAACAAGTGCATCATTTCTGTATTCGCAAAATGTGTAAACACCTTGAAATATATAAAAGAAAGAAGAAATATGCAATAATATGATTAATAATGTTACGCAACAAGAAGAAGAGAGATAAAAAAAATTAAAATAAATAGTGTCAAGTTTTCGCAAAACATGCACCTTAAAAAACACATAAAAAAATGCGATAATATGATTAATAATGTTACATATATAAGAAGAGATAAGATTTTTGGAAAATGTGTAATCACCTTAAAATATATAAAAGAAAAGAAGAAACATGTGATGATTATTTGATAATGTTACATTACAAGGAGAGAGATAAAGAAATTATATAAGTGGCATCAATCGAGTGTTTGCAAAACATGTATACATCTTGAAAGATATAAAAAGAAGAAAAAATATGTGATGATATGATTGATAGTGTCTCACAACAAGAAGAGATATAAATAAATTAACATCACTCCAGTGTTCACAAAACGTGTAAAGATCTTGAAAGATATAAAAAGATTGAAGAAATGTATAATGATATGATTGGTATCATTATACAATAAAAAGATATTAAAATATTTAATTAGTTATTAATGTAAAAAAATCCTACACTAATAGTATATAAATGATTAACTGTATATATATAAAAGAGAGACAGAGACTATGTAACGATATAATTGATACTACTAAAAAAAATTAAATAAGTGATGTCACTCAACTTAAGTGTTTGCAAAAACAAATAATAAAATAAAAAAATTGGATGATACGAATGGAATATTTTTTTTCTTATGTAATTAATAGTTTGAAGTTTCAAATTATTCTCGTTTCCCTTCTCTCTGTGTCACACTCTTACCTCGATATACCCCAGGTTTTCTGGATCTAATTCTTCCATTATTAGCGCGGCGTATCCTTCAGCTTGTTCCTTTAGCTTAGCTAGCTTGTTCGCGGAAGCACTGAGCATTATGAGCTGTTGAATAAAATTGAAAACAGAGAGTATGATCAGAACGTGATGTTCACGTCAGCGACAAGAAAAGTAATAAAATAAATTTGCCAACGCTCTTACTATTCAATATCTCTCTCGCTTTATTTCTGTTCTACAATCGATTCATGAGTATAAATATAATAATGTATTTTTAATTCAATTTAATTTGTCGGAATGAATGTAAGCTACAATGTAATTATGTAAACTTCTACGGTTTCCATTAAATTAATATTTGTTTGGAACCTTCGTTTACCAATTATATATAATAATAAATAAAAAATAAAGCGGTGGATAGTTATATGATTAATTTATGAAGTCATTTTAATATGATCACCTGTTGGGTTTTGTTAACACATACATCAAGCTACTAGATGTAATAAAATCTATGATGGTTAAATATCTTTTTAACTCTTAAAAGAGTAAATTTATTTTTAATTTTTAAAATTAAAATTATTAGTTTTAATCATATAATTTTTATATAAAAAAAAATAGTCTTTCAAACAACAATAACATATTTTAAAATAATAAATTTAGATAATCATATATTATTAATTAAATTTAATGTGATGTTTTCATTTATAAATATTTGATAAATAGATTTTATATCATAATATTTAACATATTTTTTTAATAAAATTTAAGTATAAAAATTAAAAAACAAAAATATAAAATAAAAAGATTAATTTAAATTTAAAAATTAAAAAAATTACTTTTAATTTAAAAAATTAAAAACATATTTATCTCAATTTCTAAATATGGTAAAATTTAGCTATAGAGCCATCACATCAAATAGTGTTTAAATCCGCTTGAAGATTAACTTGTCGTTCCTTAGTTAACATTATCCGTACTGTTTGTTAATCTCTTAAATCTTTTGCTTAAAGCGTACTAGTTCAAAACTTTACCTTCTTAATTAAGGTCACAACTCACAAATATAAGATGATTTATTTATTTATTTTTTTATCAATAATAATAATAATAATAATAATAATAATAATAATAATAATAATAATAATAATAATAATGGTGGTGGTAAGAAAATTGCAAAAACTATTATTTTCATGTCCTGTTTCCTTTTTTTTTTTTTTTTAATCTTTCATTCAGTTTTTCAATAGCATTCATTTAAGAATTGTATTTATAGAATATTACATTATATTATAGTTTTACAAATGGTACTGTACGGTGAAACTTCAGTAAAGAGTTAGGTATATTTATATGTATATTTTTCGGTATCTTAAATCTTACCTCTTGTACTTCCTCCCTAGTAATTCTTCCATCTTCGTTACTGTCTGCCCTGAAATAAATACAATTTTTAATTTAACATTTAAAAAACATTATCAAAAATTTCAGTGCTTGTTCTCCCGGCAAGCAGCTGTTTATAGGTGAAAGAATAATCGTATTGATGTTGCAATAAAATTTACGAATAATTCATCCTAATTCAAGGGGCTGTTTGTCACTGTCTTAAGTGAAAATTATCATATAAGTTTTATATGAAAATTAATATCTCATTCTTAAATTATAAGTCAATATCAAATTGACTTTAAATAGTTTACTTTTTCTTTTTTTATCAAATTCAAAAGTAAAGATTGATTGAAATGAGAGATAGGTTGATATAAAGTAGTACATATAGATAAGATTCTGAGTTGTTTGTATGTCAAACGATTGGAGTTGGATATATTGAGGTGGGATATTTAGGATCATAACAATTGAACCCTGCTTTTATTTTTTACAACATGTCCCCTAACTCTACTATTTGAGTTTGAGCTATCAAATTGTGTTTAAATAAACTTATAGATATAATGGTACTTGAAATTACATTAATAAACTGATTTACTTGAATTTAATTGATTTCTTTACGAATTACGGCGATCTCCTTTTTGGCAACTATATATAGGACAATCCTTTTCAAGCTAAATTGGCTTTCTTAAACTTCATTTTAAGCTAAATGGCTTTCTTAAACTTCATTTTATTATTTTTCATAAGATTCTATGTGTTCTGTGTGTTTAAGCAACGCAATCTTAAAAGAAAAATGACAAAACTCATGCGATCATCCCGTGGACTTTTTGTTTTCCTCTTAACTAATATAGCAAAAGAAAAATAAGGGAAATTTTTTTTAAAAAAAATATTGCACAAGTTATATACGTAAACTCTTGTACAAATTAAAAATTGGAGCAAATATCTTATAATTTAGACAAAAACCTATATCCAATTTTGTCATGAAAAAATTACGCTAAAAATATATTTCTGTTCTTATTTTTACGGTGCAGATTATATTAATTTTCTATATTAAAATTATTTTCATTTAATTTATTTTATATATTTTTAATATTCACTCCTTTCATTTGTTGACGTAATAAATACTATAAGATTGATATAAAATTATTTTGAGATATAATATTAATTAAACTAATAGTATTATAAATCCTTGTTCATACTATTCATTTCCAATTTAATCCGTATGTTTTATTGCTTTATAACTGTAACAAGTGATGTACCAAAAAAACAAAACCTCTAACTAGTGATTTTATAACGCTAACAGTCACCGAGCACAGTCAAAACTTTTTTTTTTTTTCTTTCTAAAGAAACTAAAAAAACATGACGTATAAAAATACATTATCCAAACATTTAATAAGCCACGAATTTTCTCGGGCGGTGATGGGAAAAAAGACAGTGTTTCTTAATGATTGTAACGAAAACACACAGCGGTGGTAGAAGGTGATGAAAAACTCACATGTCAAAGAAAATCTGAAGGCGAGCATCAAAACTCTGGTCCGAAATTTGCAACCAGAACTCATGCAACTCTTCTCTGTTTATGCTACTCACTTTCCTTTCCTTCCTTCGTGCCAATGCGTCGAATATACACACCGCAAATTCCTTCGAATCCTCCATCCCTTTCATCATTCAATTCACCAAATTCACAATTATTTTAGCAAAATATATGCACATAATCATGTTACTCCACAGTATATCTGTGTACAAGTTAAAACTGTTTTCTAAGAACTTTTTTATTGAAAATTATTATTTAATTTTAATTAATAATTTCAAAAATATATTTAAATTTGTATCTGCATCTATACCAAATAAAAACCTAGATTCTCATGTTTCTAATTATGCTCGATCCCTCTTCATCTAACCACTAGTATTTTCGAATAAAAACTTGTAAGTAGAATTGAAATTTTTTTATTAAAAATAATCTCAAAATCACTTATAAATTTTGTATAAACAAACTCTATAATTAACTGGGTTGAACACTAGTTATGCAAGTTAAATGAGTTATTGTAATGTTATTTTATTTTGTTTGAATTATATATTTCCTTATTACCTATGCATTGACCAAAGTCTTCACGAGCGAGTAAGCCATCCTTGGCCAACAAGGTGAACCTCTCTTCCACCTTTCGCCACAACTCCTCGCTGGCTTCGCCGGACTTGCTGATGAACCTCAAGCCTTTCAGCGCTCGCTGCGCGCTCGACCTCGTGCGCTCCAGCTTCGCTCTCATTTTCCGCGCGTTTCGCGCCGTCGCCACCGGATCTTCCACGGCCACGGCGGCAGCGGCACTCTCCGCCGACGACGCCGACGACACCGACCGCAGCCACGGGAACTTCCTCCGAATCCTCGACGTGATCGAGAGGCTCC